GTCACCTAACTTTAGACCCCCAGTTAGATGTCTTAGTTGCTTGGGGTCCCTCTATAGGGAACACGAAAAACCCCAAACAGTTGTGATCAAAGTCTCCAGAAATGCCTACGTGAGATCTAACTTTTGTTGGGAAGATTTGCCCTCTGGAGATGCAAATCTCTGTCATTATCTATAACTGCAAATAAACAAGATGTCCACTTTTTAAATGGCTAAGTGAAATTAACTCAATCTCTGCTGTAGCCTGCACAACCAGACACCTGAAGACTGTATGATAGTACAGGGAATTCAACTTGAATCTCTCAGTACCATAGACACTGTACTCACTGATTAGCCACTACCAACTCAGGATCTGTATTTATATAAAGCATATAATCTCAAGGTACTTCAGAACAGAATGCAGGCCTGGGCAGCAGCAGTAGCACAATCAACAGCAGAACCAGACACAGCAACATCCTCCAAGTGGCCAGCTTTTCCTGAAGGACTCTCCAATTACAGCAGAAGCATCAGACAGTCATTTACAAAGAACTGCCATGTCTTTTCCTCTACCATACAACCATCATAAGGCCTGCTTTCCTGTCCCCCTGAGATACTGTCAGTAAATAATATTAAATTCACTTCTATAGTACGCTGTAACTGTAGTTAAAAAAACAACAACATTCCTTCGGTTTGATTTACTACAGTTCCTAAATAGCCTCATTGCTCATATACCGTTAATTAGGAAAGCCAATTAATACTTCCAGCAGTAAGGAAAATGAGAATGCATTATTGCCTTTAAATCCCAGAGTGGAACTCAATTAAGACGTACAGTCTGAAGAGCTCACCAGATACAGATCAAATGTCAGTTTTTACACCAAGTTTGTTTCAACTGAGTACACATGCTTAATTTATTAAACAAGTCTTTGGCTGAAGCTGTGGAGGCAAACCATACTACAGCTTCTACGGGACAAAGGTCTTAAAAGTATAGGTCCAATGCACTTAAAAGAGAGCAAAGGGGCTGAAGAATAAGCATGAGAATCTGTAGTTCTGTTAATGAAGGAGAGCTTTGATATTAAAAAGCTTCACGTGCCTATGAGCAGCCTACTTTGACCTCTGTAAACCTATAATGATATGTTACATGACAGAAGAAAATTCCATCTTACTTGTAGCACAAAAGGAAGAGAATTATAGGAAGAAGGAATTGTATTTAAACAAATGAGCAAGACATAACAGTAATTCTCAACATATCAATAAGCAACCCTATGACAATGTTTTCAGAGGTATGTATTCATCTACATTAGAGAATTTTTGAACTCTCAACTACAGTCTAAAATGTCCCTTTGTAAATTTAGTGTAAATCTATTATAAGCACAGTAAAATGAAAAGAGTGAATTTTGAAATACTCTTCTTCATTAAGGGCTTTCTTCTGGCAAAATGCAACTACCAGCTACTCTGAAATTATTTCCAGGAGAATCTAAGCTCAGACTCTAATAACTGAAGGCCAGCCTAAGAAATTAATCACGCTTTCTGACTTATCACAGACTTATTTTCTATCACTTCCCAACTTATGTTTTAAAAATCCAGTACTACCTTGAATAGTTACAAGTTTTAACATAGCTTCTAGGTGTTCTTTTTCAGAAGCTGTAGCTTGATGCAACCATGCCAGCATGTCTCCTACATACCTAAATAAAGACAGAAATTTCTGTGTAAATCAGCAGTTTATGGCATGAGGGATCCAAAGTGCCAACAGACAAAAGAAGGATTATTTCATATACATTCTTGCTAGTACTATACCTCAGAGGATCGTGGGAGTGCATTTCAATAGGGCGGGGAGTACCTCCCAGACCTCCTCTAGTAAGAGCATCTATAAAGCCACGCACTACAGCACTCCTCCTAGCTGTTCCAAACTCATCCAAAGTGTACCTGTTATTGAAACATGAAAATGGGTAAAACAAAACAGTTCGCTTCATCAGTTTATTACCTCAACTTTACAGTTAATATGAGTAACTGTTTTTATAGTTCTAGAAATCTTGCATCAATGCTTCTATGAAGCATTCAAAACCTTCTGATTTTCTTGACTCCTCTAAATAAAGATAACTTTTCCTTGGCCCTCCCATTCCCTTACCCCACACAAATAAATAAATAAATAAATAAATGAAAAATCAGCTTTTCCATTTTTGTACATATAAGTGTGTATTGACGGGTCTAGGACTCCTTTTCACACGTCGTCCAGCTGACTGTCAGAAGCAGCAACTTATTGCACTGCAACACAAGGCTTTCTCTTCCTTCTTCTTCTAGGCCACCACATGATTAGTAGCAAAAAAGTTATTTTCATTTGATAGTTGTTCACTGGTTTTAATTACCTGAGTCTTAGTTAGATATTTAATGGATGGACAGTTACAGCCCAGAGTGTGTAATCTCAAATGGCTTGCTGGTAGTAGTAGAGGAGGTACCAGGAACATACACACGGCTCATTTTTGGAGCAGGCTACCTTCCTGTTCACGCTGAAGCATGACAACAAGTGAAGAATGGGAAGTGAACACTGCTAACATCCCTGTTACATCTGCTTAGAAACAGGATTTTTGCAAGCCATGGAACCCTTCTATTTTTTTTGAAAAACTGAATTTAAGTATTTTGAACAAAACACATAAATTACGAAGGAAAAAAAGAAAAAAAACACATGACAGTTTATTTTTCCAATATAATTGAAGAAATGCCAAAGAGTAAGCATGGTGTCACTTACCAATGACACCCAGCGGCTGAACAGATAAAAATAATAGTAATAAAAAGCATGTTACTCACTGACTGAAGTTAAATGAGTACTGCATTCACAATTAAACAGATGTGGAGAACAAAATACAACAGAAAATAATATACTGTTTCAAATATGTTCCAAGTTAAGTTCAATTAGATTACTACTATGTTATAAGAAGTCCAAGGGATCCTTCAGTTTTGCTCTTTTCTATCCACATTACTGTTTGAGAGAGGGGGAAAAAAGCACACTGAAGAATCATGAAATTTGTTTAAATCTTTTTCTTCATACACTGTACTTGTTAACTCAGAAAGTAAATATCTGCAATTTAAAAAAAAAAAGGCTAATGAAAAAAGTCTTTAATAAATTACTATTTACAAAAACTATGCAATTAAAAGTGGGAGAGATCTGGGATCTGCTGACTACCTACAGTCCAGGAGTAGCAGCACTGCAGTGAAAAATCTCAAGTGTTTGTAGAAAGCAGCTAAGCTTTTCCCCCCCCCCTCCAATAAACAGCTATATAATAGATCATTAAAAATACAGCAGCAAAACAGATCTTGTGATCTTGTTATTAGTCTAGAAAACAGCATTTAATAATGATAATTTTGTTTTAAAAAGAAAAACTACAAATTTTCCTTTTGCTCTCAGTAGAACAGGGTATAAATATGACAAAATCCTGCACCTTAAAAAATTCAGTAATAGCTATTATTTACACTAGAAACACAGTATTTACTACTATGTTATTACATGTACTCATGTTAGGGGCAGAAAACAACATTTGGATTCTTTTCAACCCAGCTTCAATTTCTTTAAAACCCAGTAAAGTAATGATCACTGGGGGGAGAGGAAGGAGGTGGAGAAAAAGCTTTGAAAATCAGTGGCGGATGGAAAAGGAACACTGCTTAGAGCTGTGACTCCATGTATTTTCTATGAAACAGTTTTCAATCTTTCTGTTAGAACCAGGAAGTGAAAACCAAACTGAAATGTTTATTTCAGATCCCTACTGACTGCAGTTCCAAAAAGTCCATCCATGATGCAATCTTTCTGCCACCTTAAGTTAGGACGACATAAGTCAATATAAGAAAACAAGAATTTGTAGTTTTGTTTCTAAACTCCTGTCCTTCTCCATCTTACTCACTTTCACCCAATCAAATCACAATCATTATCAGATGCAAGGGCAGTGATTTGGAGGAAAAGTATTTAGGTTCACACAGCAGCGCTTACATGCATAAAACCAACAGCAATTTAAAATTACTTTCTTCTATGGCATAATTTTTACATTTTGGATTCAGCAGTTTGTTATGTACTAAAGGTATACAAAAATTTTTCGAAGGGAATAAACTAAATCTTGAGGTTTAAAATGTAAAGCATCAGTACTGCAATTTTGACAATACTGCTGTAGCAAGCGGTTAAGCATGATAATCTATGATGAGAAACATATGGCTGCATCTTTGACAGTAATGTTTACTTTTGCCTTTTGGCAGAAGAAAAGTCCTACCTACCAAGTTCTACCTTTGGCAATACTAGTACTGCTGTTTGTGAGAGAGATGTCAGAAGAAAAATACAAGTCTCTTTTGCAGATTCATTTTGAACAGGCCAGCTGTGGGTTTATACAGAAAATGGAGGTTTCTTCCATAAATGTTAAGAAAGCAAAACAATGGTTTTATGACATTTGAAAGTAACATAATTCACCAAAATATTTATTACAGAAAATATAAACTGTCTCTATAAAGAATCCTATAAAATGTTGTGAACACAGTTGTGGCTGATCCTTTGCAGCTGTGAAAGAGGGCCTGGAGGAGAGAATGCAAGAAAGGACTGCAATCCCCAGCTATGGCCCAAGGTAATGCAGTGCACCACATGCAATAGCTGGGGAGGTCGAGTGACACCATCTCTCCCTCAAATTAACTAGCAGAAGTGACTGAGCATGTTGGTATGTGCACCCTCTCTCATACTGACAGAATTTTTAAGGTCCACTTGCGCTGTGCATTTTCCCCGTGAATTGCTCCATGGAGATTTACAGTGTCACATACCCCCACCTTCGCGCATTTGACACTCTTAAAAGACAAGGCTAGCCTTTGAAACACTGCCTAGTACTCTGCTGTTCTGGATGCCTGTGGCCAGAAGTAATTTGCAATAGTTGCAAAATGTGATGAGTGCATTTTTCAAAAACGCCTAAAAAGCAAGGAAGTGTTAAGTACCACTTCTTCAGGTATGGCCACCCCAATAAAAACAGTTCTTACAGTGCCACCTCGTGGTTAAGTTGTCTCTACTAAATACCATTTAATTTACGTCAAGCAGTCCCCTTCAGCAAATTCTGAACAAGAACTAAAGAGTAGTATATTTTTTTTTAATATATATATATAAAGTACCCCTATGCCTTAGAGGCTCATATGTAGCAGATTGTTTTTAATAGATTATTGTACAACTCATAATGGAAGACATTCTTACTATCAGGAGCACTTCAGTAAAAGCTAATTAGCCTTTATCAATTTTTTACTTTGGGAATTTAAATGAGACAATCACATGCTTTGGACAGCATTTTTTTCTTCAGAAAAACCCTACAAGAGCAGCAGAAATTCACAATTCATTTAGATTAAAATAAGAACAGTCTGACATTTTACTTTAATTAGAAACCATTAAGTTGGAAAAGAGTCCAATGACATTTACTGTACCATAATTCTGTCAAAAAGACTTCTGAAATTTAAAGAAGTTGAAGCATGGTTTGGGTTTTTTTTTTTTTTTTAAAAAATCTGACGTATGATTAAATTGCCACCATCCTTGGCACTGTAATTCATGCCCGTCTTTAAATATTATAGGCTGGAAATACTAATTCCTGTTTGAGATAATCACGAGCATTTACTTACTTATACAGGACAGGTCTATCTTGTAAGGCTTCCATGGCTTGAGCAAGAACTGGAGAAATGTCACATGATTCTTGCGTCAAAGTCCTGCATTCATCTGTAAAACATCAACACAGATAAAAGTGCAATACCTTTTATAACAAGCTGTCAAACAAAAAAATGAGTCAAAAACTCTAAGGTTTTTGATTTTGAATTGAAGCCTTCAGAATACGCTACCTGGCCTAGTTTGCGTTAATGTAATTAACTTCCCCCATAAGCAGTACTTCACTGTAAAATGGATGTCCATCACAAATATCAACAATAATAAAAATTAAAGGAAGCTTAGTATCTGGTTGCACCCACATACAAATGTAAAATCATTCAGTCATCAGAATTCTGTCAGGCTCCTTTATAACTGTTTACCACATTCCAGGTAAACTACTAAGAAAAAAGCAACCAAGTATTTAAGCGAGCTGTGGGTTTGTTTTGGGGTTTTTTGGTGTTTTGTTTTGTTGGGGTTTTTTTTGTTTTGTTTTGTTTTTTACTTTAATCACATTAACTACATAATCTTGTATATTCCATACAAGAATGTGGAAATCATATAAACTAAATCAAACACTGGCGTAAAAAAGATGAATTTTCTTTAGGGTGAAACCACAACCGTTATTTGAGGCTTCAGCATCCCACTGAAGAACAGCTAACTCATATAATATCGCACTGCAGCAGCTTTTTTTCATAAATCTTCCTGTCAATGCCTTGGGAGAAGAGAGAAGTAATACAAAAGTGTCTACATTTTACACTATCAAGATGTTACATCAAACACTGATGCTTGGATCCAGAGTACATATGCAAAAAAATAATTGCCTACTATCATTCAAAAGAGCATTATGATAAAATAAGGTTGGGTTTGGGTTTTTTTTCCCTTTTTTAAAGGTAATAAGCCACTCCTCACACTAAACTAGATCTTACTACCAAATTGTGAAAAACAAGAACTTCCCTGTGACCTGCAAGAAAATGAAATGCAATACTCTTAACAATTTGTTTAGACTATCAAACTGTAGTAGTTGTTCTCTGTGGAAAACCATCTGAAAATACAAATAAATAACACAGTTTTACAAACAGAAATGAGATAGGCCCAAAAAAGGAGAGAATCTCCAATTAACTATTCGGTTCACAAAAGCTAGCTTTTCGACAAACCTTTCACTAAGAAGGAAACCCAAAGCCTTATTAATGAATCTTGGAAAGCGTTTTTGCTGAGTTCAAGTCACATCAAGGAATTAAAGGAATCATCATAATAATATTCATAAACATAAAAACATTCTTAGTCCTACTCTGAGTCCATCTGTAAAGTCGTTCATAAGATGTCTCTTGCAGTAAAGCCATCTGTTCCATAATTTCCAAGCTACAAGACAAAAAGATTTTATTTGCAAATACTATTTTAGGTAGTACTAGCAAAGGCACATACAAATCAAATACAACGTACCATTATTAAAATCATGCAGATTTAAAAATGTTACTATTCTTTGTTTTTATGTGAAATACTCTGTATAGTCATACGACACAAAGAATGAGACCTTGCTGTAACTTCTGCTTTTAACAAGTAAATGGTTATCTTGCACTCATTTAAGTAGCACTCACCCTGCCCTTTGCTGATTTGTCCGGAGGAGAATCTTGACATCATCGTGAATTTGCTTTACTCTTCCCAAAGCCTTGAAAAAATCCTAAATCAATTTAAAAAAAAAAAAAGGAAAAAAAAAAAAAAAGAAAAAAAAAAAAAGCAGTGTTTAAAAGCAGTTACTTGTCATTCAAATTTCTAGCACTCTATACTCCCCATTTAAATTCCATATTTCTGTTCCTTGCAGGTCTGTGTTCCAAGTGCTGCTCTTAAAATACGAGCCCGCCTCCGCCACCTCTCACCTTTCATTCCACCTTAAGAGCCTTTCCCATTGCATCACACCCTTCTTCCACAAAAAAAAAAAAAAAAAAAAAAGCAGCAAAGATTTGGTTTCAACCTGTCTTTTATGTAGCATGTGTGTGTTTTACATTTATTAGTTAACACTCTGGGGAGATTTTGAGGACATTACTATGCATTCCATCATCTTTTCCCCATTAACATTAGCAACTAAAGAGCAAACTGAAACATAAAGTACAATGATTATAGGTCAGTATTTTTTGTTTTCATATAATAGGGTAACAATTTCTAAGAAAAATCAAACATTTGCTATAGACTAGACCAAGGTTTTCCAGGACAATCTTTCCCCCCTGAATAACGCAGCAGCAGCAAAGAAAAAATCCTGGAAGACATGGACATATGGCCAAAAAGGTCATTTGGTTATTGTTTTAGAGAGCAAATGGAAATCCACTAACATTTTCAAACATGTGTCTTATTATGAAGTCATCTTTCAGTCATCATGGAGGAGACTAGCGAATTCAGATATAGCTGAATATGTATCTTTTGTGACTTGAACACAGTTTCCCTCAGGAAAGTAGAGTTTCATTCTGGCTCAAGTCACATAAAAATATACATATTCTAAGTGAAATAGGACACTGATTTAACCTACTGCCTTGCATCAACTGCGTTGAAGATCATGTTTATAAAAACCCAAATCACTCTTCCTTTAGGAAAAAAAAAAAAACATTAAAAAATTACCAAAACGGAAGCCTGACTAAAAATGTTTTAAGCACACTGGTTGATTCTATCATAGGGGAAAAGCACACACATGATTTTACTGAAGTCTGCCATTTCAGTAGCACAACTATGATTATATCCCAGTTACTCCTGCACATTTTTTAGACAGATCAAAGTATCAAAAGGACTAATCCTCGTTCTGCTGTGAACCAAGCACTGAATAAATGGCACAGCATTGCTGTCATTGTTCCCTGCAACATGTGCTTTTTAGAAACCTGAATGTTCTTTCATGGTAATAGTTGGTATAAAAGCATACAGCAATTACTCAAGTGCACAATCATTTAACACGTTCCATTTATGCTTTCATTAGCACTGTTTATGGTTATCTGTTCCATGTCTTTAATAATGCTTTAGCTGCAAACAGGATGCCTGTGGAAATGAGATAGTACGTCTCAGCAGGTGGTCTACACTTAAGTGAAGGTTTCTATGCAACTGCAATAATAAAAATCTATTAAGTGTACTCAATTCTCTCATTATTCAGTTTGCTTTTACTGCAGAACAACGTACCTTCTTATTCAAACCATAAACATATCCAAAAACTTGTTTTGGAAGGTGGCTAAAAGTGAATCAGCACCTAGTATCTTCATCAACCAAATAATAATGAGGGAAAGTCTCAGCTTATATTGTTTCAAGTCACTGAATACCTATACACATGCTTATGCAAAATGCACACACACATGCACAAGGGTAGTACGACACATTACTGAAGCGCTGCAAATTTCTCATTTGGTTTATTTGAGTGTGATGAAGTTCTAAAACATCTTCACTGAAAATTCAGACTTCATAAAGGTCTTTAACTGTAGAACCACACGATAGCTCATTTGCCCTTTAAACTTATTACACAAACTAGAATTTAATGTTGATTTTCTTTCTTGTTACTTGAATCTTTCATCGCACATTTCAAACTCATCAGAAATTCACCATTCTGCTAAAAGGTACATTCCTCCATAAAAAATTAAATTACAAACTGATAAGATGACCTCATGTACAATTCAGCTAGGACGCTTCTACATTTTAGTTCAGGGCAAAGCTTTTAATGTTCATTGAGCTACCTCAGTAATTGGCTCATCTTTCGTGCCTCGAAGAAGGTTCATTTCATCTGGTGTCAGTTGGAATTTTGCTATGAATGTGTCTGCAACTTGTGCTTTCATTTCTAGTCTCTGACTGTAATAAAACAAAGTGAAGAGGACATTACCTTTTTATGCTTATCTCAGATTTATTTTGCATATTCATACTTTTGGAAATATAATTAGCATTACAAATAGGTGTTATAAATTCTAATAGTACATTCTTGCCATCAAACACCTGAGTTGCATCTTCTCATACAATTTTCTATTAAGCTTACATAGATTACCGAGTAAAGACAATATAAAGGTAAATTAGCACATTTGAAAACTAGTAAGTCCTTTAAAAAAATATTCCTTTAGCGTTTGTATCACAAGTTATCTAATCCAAATACTTTGCGCTTGTACAGTTGTAATGCTTGCAGTTATTTCCTTTCAAATTCATCAAGGAAAGAATGGGGCTTCAGCTCATGTTTTCAGAGACACACAAAAAGCTGTAGCACCCAAAACGCGAAAATAATCATTAGATTAATCTACTTTTCTGTAGAACAGATCCATTTCTTTTTAGCAACATACAGTTGGGATACAAATTCACTAATCTCACAAGCAATCAAAATGAAATGGCTAATTCTCTTGTTGATTACCCTTCCTGAAATAAACACAGCGGGGATGTAATATGCAAACGCCATCTCGTGGGCAGCATCTTTTTGCACATGTTTTGTCACACACCTTACACCCACGGAAGGACTCAAATATAGTTTTATTCCACAGGAAGGGACTGGAATTCCTGTAGCAACGGAAAAATTGCTCAAACTGTGGTTTGAGCACACAGCATTCCAGGAAATAAAGACTCCTTTTTCAGGACATGGAGAAGACACTCGTTAGTTATTTGTAGAACAAAAAGGCTCAATTACTTTAAGACCGTTTCAGCTTCCAATGTAATTACTGCAAGATAAATACACTGTTATTATAGGGTGGTAAGACAGGCAAGTACACTTCTAATACTGACTGCAATAATTAAATTTCCTTGCAAGATCGAAGCTTGAAAATTAAGCTTTTACTCAATTATTTACCACTTCTCTACTATCCAACTAGTGTCTGGACTGCATTCAGCTGTAAGAAGCATGGAAAACTGGCTTCCCTTCTGTAGACACGGATGGCCTTCCCATCCTGCAGTTCCACAAACCCTTTTAGAGATCAGATGAAATGTTTTGCAATTGTCAGTGCTCTATCTATCATACTGAACAGTGAGAAGGAAGAGAATATAAAATCCAACAGTGTTTTAATAGTAAAATTTATGAAAATCAAAGGGGAAAGCAACCCAGTACTAGTAAGTTACACAGAAGACACCTAAGCAAAAAGGAAAACCAAAAACTCCTATGCTTTAATACCACATCTTTAATTGATAAGTCATGTTTCCCCAGGGGCCTATGCACATGTGGCTGGTTTGCCTTTACTTTGACAGTTTTGCAATGCTTAAAATTTAACTATTTAATTTTTGCTAAGTAAACTCTACAATTGCAAATTCAGGGTCTCCATGTAGCTGAATCTTTCTCAGGGAAGGAACAAGAGTGATGGAGGATAATTTTGGCCAACTAAAGAGGCAATGACAGCAGATGCATCCTTGAAAAATTATAGCACTTTCCAAGCAACCTGGTGGTAGCTCACTGCAAGCGAGGAAGAACAGGCAAGAAGTCTAAAAAGAGGGCTCAAGAGTGCATACACAGCTTGGAAACAAGAAAATGCAGGTACAGGAAGAAAGGAAAGGTATCTGGAAGAGAGGAAAGAGATTGAGAAGCATCATGATGGTTTGGCAAGGAGGTGGAGTCAGTTTTCTAGCACAAACAATGGGGCATGGGGAGAGAATGGAAAGTACCAAAAGACTCTGGGGGCAGAGAGGGGACACATGAGGTGATGGGTCTGAAGGGATTGAAGTTGCCCCATTTCCTCTTTGAATAACTTTATCTAAATCTCTCGTATCGGGGTGAGGACACGCAAGACTATCTTCAAACCTAAACAGACCTGGCACTGTTTTCCAGCCTCACTGATAGGCTTTTCTGACTCAGAAAGTGTGGAAGACCTCAACGCAGTGGAAGGAGAATGGAAGAATACCATTTTGAACACATTCAATAAA